GGGGCGCCATAACGCCTCCCTGTTCCCGCCGCAGCTTGGAGGGAGCCGGGGGGGCAGACCCCAACGGCGTGTGGCCTGGGGAGACTACAGCTCCCAGCATGCAATGCAGCTGGGCGCTTAGCTCCTGCTGGGAGCTGTGGTCCCCGGGGGACGTGGCTCTGCATTACGGACCAAGGCAGCTCTGATCTCGAACCCCTGCCAGGCGGGTGCCCTGCTCTCCCCGCCCCCGACACGTTCACCCCCATATGCCAACTGGAGGAAAAACAAGGGGCGGTACAGGGATGTTAAATGGCAGGAGTTGTCCTTGTCTCGCCAAGGCCAGGAGCTGGGAAGGACACATCAGCCGTATGGCAAAGGCAAACCGTTCCTAGTTTGCCGCTCTCGTTATGGGCCCTCAGAGAAAGAACCGATCACTGCCGGAGCCACACATTATCCGGTGCCGCTCCCCGGCCTGCCAGGGACTGAGCGGCAGCTGGGCTAAGCGAGGGGATGGCATCTAGAGTGGCACGAGGGCAGCGGCTCTCAAACGTTTGTACTGGTGACCCCTTTCACACAGCAAGCCTCCGAGTGGGACCCTCCTTATACATTAAAGACACTTGTTTATATTTAACACTATTATAAATGCTGGAAGCGAAGCGGGGTTTGGGGTGGAGGTTGACAGTTCACGACCCCCCACGTAATAACCTCGTGACCCCCTGAGGGGTCCTGACCCCCAGCTTGAGAACCCCTGCACGAGGGTGACCAGGCAGCAAATGTGAGAAATCGGGATGGGGGTAATAGGAGCCTATATAAGAAAAAGACCCCAAAAACAGCGCCCCCAGTTGTCAGCAAGGGTATTGTACTAAAGGGGAAGGCGTCCGGAAAGGGGGCGGAGCCCTGCATGGCTTTCGACCCTCCGGAGGATTGGGAATCAGGGGTGTGATCCTGCTAGGTAGTGAGCGGCCTCTGGAGGTGCCGACCGCCCCCTCCCGCCATTGAAGGCCTTTGCACCAGCTGGTACCCGATGTGCGTGTGCGATTGTAGCAAACGTGCACACCGCAAGCAAGCAGTTGGAGCCCCAGGCTCTGTCACTGACTTGCTGTGAGACCACAGGCAAATGCCTGCACTTCGCCGTGCCTCAGTTTACCCACCAGTACAATAAAGATAATGCTACTGACTTTCCTTTGTAAGGTGCTTTGAGATCTATGGCGCTAGACAATCAGGCTCTGTGATACCTCCCACCACACTCCGCCCGTAGAGGCTGGATAGCACCCAAACCTGGTCAAAACAACCCCCCCTCTTCAATCAAAGCTTTTCATTCAAAAATGTCTGTTTAAAGTGTTTCCGTTTGCAACAAAACATTTATTTCATTTGGCTTTGACTCAAAACGGTCGTTTTGTTTTGGCTCTGTCAAAACCCGAAAATGGCCTGAAATTCCCAATGCTCCTCCTTCCCCTTTTCTGACACCGGAGGCGACAGGACGAGCTGTGTCTAGAGTCAGTTTTGCCTTGTGCCGTTCTGCATCTTTTCGAAACTTCTCCAACGGTGTCAAAGCGATGGAGAGTTTACACGACGTGTCCCGGGTCATACGGGGAGAGCTAAGAACTGACCCATCAGCTCCTAAATCCATAAACACAACCCCACCCTTGCTCTGTACCCAGCCCTGAAAGAAATCTTAGAACCAGCTCGATAAACCCAGCTAGCCCTCCACACCTCTGCTATGCAGCGCCGAGTGGATAAGTCAATTGCATTAGACATGCCTCTTCCATGTGCCAGCGGCGCGTCCTGGAACAATTCATTTAACGGAAGCAATCCCTATTAGCCGTGCATTGTTGCTAATGTATTTACATGGGATCTGCCTTTAAGGTGCTATTCACTGGCACCCCCGTGACCGTCATTAACGTTAATACCTTGAGATGTTTCTCCACCGAATCAATTTTAATCCCATTGTTGTGTCTCCCCCATTCTTTAATTTCCATTTATGCAAATAGCATTAGTTAAATGTGCTATAAAACAAATATATCCTGAGGGGGCCGCTTATTACAGACCAATCCAAGCCAATTAAGGAGCTAAGGGAGGAAATTGCTAATGGATTGCTCGTGTTTCTTCTTAGGGCTGTAAGTCCAGAATGCAACATTGCCTGCCCGTAGGGTGGAAGAAGGATTTCTCACCAGCAACTCTGATACTGTTCCAGGTCTCCAGGCAGCCTGTGTCTCTGTGAGTGTAATTCCACACCTGCAAAGCATCCAGCCTGCCTTTCTGCACCCGAGAGATTGGCCGCTGACCCATCTGCCTCTGCAGATCAGCTCAGGCGGATGCACCGAGTTTGCTTTGCGGTTTCAGAAAAACATGTGAGCTCGATGACTGACAGGTGCAAAACGCTCTCCACTGAAACAGCGCAAATCAGGTCTGCTTGGGGAGGTTTGCAGAAGGGCTCGGCACCCAGGATGGGGCCTGGTTTTTTCAAGGACTTGGTGTGCTGGATGCTTGTCACAATGGGATGTTTGTGCAAATTTGGCCCTTGTTTAGGTGTCTAAATGGGATCTGAATTCTTGGAATCTGGCCTGGATCGCGGGCGCTGAGCCCCGGGGGATCCGGCCCCGATCGCGGGCGCTGGGCCCTGGGGTATCCGGCTCCGATCGCGGGCGCTGAGCCCCGGGGAATCCGGCCCCGATCGCGGGCGCTGAACCCCGGGGGATCCGGCCCCGATCACGGGCGCTGGGCCCTGGGGTATCCGGCCCCGATCGCGGGTGCTGAGCCCTGGGGAATCCGGCCCCAATCGCGGGCGCTGAGCCCTGGGGTATCCGGCCCCGATTGCGGGCGCTGAGCCCTGGGGAATCCGTCCCTGATTGCGGGCGCTGAGCCCCGGGGAATCCGGCCTCGATCGCGAGCGCTGGGCCCTGGGGAATCCGGCCCCGATCGCGGGCGCTGAGCCCCGGGGGATCTGGCTCTGATCGCGGGCACTGAGCCCCGGGGAATCCAGCCATGAGCTCTTGCAACAATCAGACCCAATACCCTGAGCAGGCAGCTGTACTGTGGGCAGTGGGGGAGGGCATGAGAAGGGGTATTTAATTTCTCGAGCTCTCCTTGGCCCGGCGTTGACATCAGATAGACACAAGCTCAGCATGTCTGCACAGACAATCTCAGCTGTGCCGGGCTGCGTCTGAATAAAGATGAGCTCGGAAATGAATCCCCCGGTGAATGCTCACTCTAGATATTGGGCCGTCGATCATAATAATATGATGGTCTGCTGCTCGCAGTTCCTTAGGTAATAAATCCACCCGCTCGGCTGGTCTGGGGCCACCAGCGTTTCAATTCACTGAAAGCCACCCGCCCTGTCCCGGTGATGGAGCGGCCCTGTTATAAAGCTGCTGTATATTAGCTCTTAAATGTACTGCACTCTATTACGGCCGTGCTTGGAGTAACCTGAGCTGAAGGATTCACGTCTAAGCGTTGAGTGAGGAGAGCAGGGCCTGTCTGGGCAAGGAGCCGATAGCTCCAGCCCCGCATGGGATGCCAGCTTCACGCTCACCATCTGGAACCCTTTGCAGCTCTGGCCCTGCTTTGTCCTCCAAGAGCTGCTACCGAGGCACCGGTATTGACGCTACAAATTGATCCTCTGCGTGTATGCGGCTCCCAGGTGGCTGAGGGGAACCCAGAATCACAGAATATCAGGGTTGGAAGGGACCTCAGGAGGTCATCTAGTCCAACCCCCTGCTCAAAGCAGGACCAATTCCCAGACAGATTTTTACCCCAGTTCCCTAAATGGCCCCCTCAAGGAGGGGGCTCACAACCCTGGGTTTAGCAGGCCAATGCTCAAACCACTGAGCTATCCCTCAGAGCAATAGGCCCTTCTCCACCGAGCATTGTACCCTGTACCTGCACACCCCTGGGGCCTCCATCAGCTTCAGAACTCCTCTGCTCTCAGCAAACAGCTGTGAAACCCTCCGACAAAGTGTGTGTCTCCAACCCCCCTCCAGCGGCGGGTCCACATAGAAGATAGCCTACTACTGCTACCAGTTCTCCGTTAGCTGAGCTGGTACAGGACTGTGCCGAGGATCTAAAGAGCCCAGCCGTTGTTGTTTTCATTTTTAAGCGTTAAAAAACACTGGCTATTAGTGTGACTTACACCCCATATTCTTCATAGAAATATTGTGATATGAATATGGCATAACTAAGGTATGTTTTATGCAAGATGGGTCATGTGAGGTATCATTGGAAAGGTTATGATCTACTGAATGTGATTATCCTATTTGCATACATGTATCGTTTCTGTGTCTGAAGTTAGGAATATTGACTATGTAACAATTACAACTGTGTGTGTGTTTGGGGGAACGCCCACCGGACAAGAGGCCATCAGCCTCAATGGGCCATTAGGAAGAACAATAAGATTTGGAAGATGCTAATCTCCCGCCTTCCTGAGAAGCTCCCCCGGTTGCTGCTTTGACACTACAGGGTCAGGTGATCATGTCACCTGGTACTAGACCCCCATCTTGGGCTTTCAGTGTTTTTTCGTTAAGAGGGGGTGGGGGTGAGACTGGGAAACAAAAGATTCCCGCCCTATGTACATTCTATTTAAGGCTGGGAAGTGAGGCAATCAAGACTTTTCTCCATTGCCTCCCCGCCCAAGAAGGAAGATTGCTAAAACCCCCTGAAGGGAAAGGCAGGGGCTGAGTCCAGGCAGAGACAGGGGTCCGGTCTGCAAAGAGAAATAACTGGAACTCTACAGAAACTCTGCCTAAAACAACGTTTAAGGTGAGAAATTACATTATGTAACCTGCTTCTTGAGTGTATTACGCTTAGTTTGCAGGTTTTGTTTTATTTGCTCAGTAATCTGCTTTGTTCTGTTTGCGATCCCTTACAATCACGTACAATTCACCTTTTGTAGTTAATAAACGTATTTCTTGTTTATTTCAAAACCCAGTTTGTGCAACTCATATCTGGGGGCGGGGGC